GTCTCTTGTTGTTCCACACTAATTTCTCTTATTTTTAATCCATCAATTATAAAATGTGATTATTTCATATGGTAAATGTTGGCTAATTGTCTCACGGGTATTTCCTATTTTATTTAATTGCTATTCCTCCTTGCGTGTTGGACTTTCCTTTGAAATCACTTCATATTTACTGCAGATTTGCTGTGAAATGCTCTCCATTGTTGTTTACAAAAATCTCTAGTTTGTCCTTCTTTAAAGGTTCGGTAGTAATCAATTCCAGATAAACAATTATTTTCCATGACTCCTTGGAGATAATGTTCTCTAGTCTTCTAGCTTCCATTGTTGCTACTGATTCCATGGCTCTCCATATTCCAGCTGGCTTCTCTCACTCTAGCGATTTTCCAATAAGCTGTCCCATTAACAATCTAGTCAAGCTCTTGTCACTACTGATTTAGGGGAATTTCCCAGAGAACTGGGAAATTTCACTTTTTCATTGGCTTTCTATATCATCTGTACTGTAGGTTCCTCCATTCCATTCTGTTCCTCTCTGTATCTGTCATTCCTTAGCATTTCTAGAATTTTAAATGCAGATTTAAAGTGCATGGTTTACATCATCTGCATTTACGTCAATGAAGAGGAAACGTGTTCGTGCATCACCACTTAGCATTTCACATTTTCTTGGCATTCTATATGTATCTTGATGGTGGTCTTATACAATAACATTCAATTTTTTTTTAAAATCACATACTTGTATTTGTCACAAAAAATGCAGTGCTCCCCCAATTACCATACATTTTTGCAAATTACATGCAGTACTGGTATTAATCTTAACATTAAATAGTAATGAATATTTTTTAGACAAATAAATTTAAATAGAATATATAGAATAGATTTGCATATAATCTGAAGTGCATGTGCCACCTGGTATCATAAAGGGTCTTCGAAACTTACGTAGGCAGGCTTTGTTGAGCAATCTGCCTCATAGTAGAGCTAGCTAACTCTGTCCTTTGGACACTCTAGATAGCTTCAGACACTTCTAGATAACTCAAGAAATAAGTCTGGGGCGTCTGGGTGGCTCAGTTGGTTAAGCGACTGCCTTCGGCTCAGGTCATGATCCTGGAGTCCTGGGATCGAGTCCCGCATCGGGCTCCCTGCTCAGCAGGGAGTCTGCTTCTCCCTCTGACCCTCCCCCCTCTCATGTGCTCTCTCTCTCTCATTCTCTCTCTCTCTCTCTCTCTCAAATAAATAAATAAAATCTTAAAGAAAAAAAATAAGTCTGAAAAAATGCACACAAAATATTATTATTTTCTTTCTTTTTAAGATTTATTTATTTATTTTAGAGAGATAGAGAGGGGTGGGAGTGGCAGAGGAAGAGGGAGAGAGAGAATCCTCAAGCAGACTCCCTGTTGAGCACAGAGCCTGACGTGGGGTTCAGTCTCACCACCCTGAAATCATGACCTGAGCTGAAATCAAGAGTCGGGTGCTCAACCAACTGAGCCACCCAGGCACCCCAAAGTATTATTATTATTTTCCATTAGTAAATATGGTACCATTCAAATAACATTATGTCCCAACCAATATGCAAACGAAATAGGTGAAGTCTTACCACTAGTCAAAGTAGTCCTCACTAATTCAACAAAATTTGTTTTATACTGGACATATGCTTGATAGAGATGCAAATGATAGAGCAGTAAAAAGTGGGCCTGAGGTCATAGATTGTAGTCTCCTACAAGAGAGTAACAATTATCAAGCCAGTACAGTAAAGTGTGGTGAGGGCTACAATAGGAAAAGTACAGCCCATCATGTGAGCTCTTAATTTCAGAAACATTTTGAAAAGATTCAGGCTTTTATGATCTGGCTTGAGATCACACCATAGAGAGAAACTTGAAAAGCATCTGGTTCATTTCTTAGCCCTGAGAATCACATCATAACTCATTTGTTCTCCCTACATTATTTGAAATCCTAGACGGCCACTAAAAACAGTTCATAAAAAATTAAAACTTATTAAAAATATTAGTGAGGATTTACAAAGCTTAGTACAGATAGTTGCAAGTCAATACAATTTTGAAAGGGCATTTCCTGTGATGGATGGGTTCACTCAAAATGCAGATTATTGGAGATTTGGTAAATGATACAACTGTATCTGAGTTCTCTGAAATCAAGACAGAGTGAGAACACAGCAACTAAAAATAGGTAAGAGATGATATATGAACCAAATATACTTTTAAAAGTGTACTGTACCAGTTTAAGATTTAATTGGTGTAATATAATCCTGAACAAATTTAAAAAGTATACAAGGTTATCAGGATTAGAGACTCATTAAAATGAAGGTTCTGTTTTAAATACAACAACCCAATAAGCATCATCTTGCAATGAAGTGAAATGACCCACTTTCTTTTTCTTTGTCTTCTCTTAACACAGGGAAGTTAAAGTAGCAAGGGGGTAATGCATATACATACTTTCAGAGTTATGCAATGATGTGTTGGGAATTCACCAAGTCAGAGTAAAAATACAGCTCACCTTCCTGACGCATAAGATTTACCTAAGTGTATATAATTGAAACATTTAAATAGATTATATAGAATACATACATTTGTGTAAAATGCTGTGATTGGATATATGACTACATGCTTGACTTGTGTCTGTGGTTGGCCATGTCTGGTTGTGGCCTTTTCTTGGGGGTATATGACCACAGCCTATTTGGGTGTATTTCAAGAGATCTGAAGTTACTGTTGTTAAGAAGGAGCACTCAGTCAGACACAGAAGCCTGGGTTTGAGGATGCCTCTTACACTGAGTTTAAGGCTGTGGACAAGGACCTAGACCTCTGGGCTATTGGTCACGGTGTCCAGATCCCTAAAATGGGATCTCTGAGGCCCTTCCTACTCTCACATTCTGTGTTTCTGTGTGGTTTCTGCTGAGGTTTCTTGAGTCTCAAAAGCACAGGCACTCTACCTTCCTAAAAAATATTCTTTGAGTCCCCCGATATAATAATGGACGATATTTATTCACTGCCAGCCCATGTTCAAGGAATTTATAAGGTTGGGGCAATTGGGAATGGTGGACCAGGGCCAATGAAGGATACATGTGTATAAATATCTATACTCAATATTGTCTTTTATTAGTCTTCTAATGTTTATTATTAGTCTAATGTTTATTCATAAAATTATTTCATCCCAGACTGTAAACCTTACATTGTAGGAATTATACTCTTTATTCTGCCATCCAGACAGTAAGTTCTCAGAAACTTCTTAATTAATCACTAACTCAGCTTTAAACACAATCAAGCAATTATTTGGTACCTAAAGTTTTTACCCGCTTTACTTCAGACAAAACTCTGAGGTGTATTTCTTATATATAAAATAAGAAGTTAAATAATACTTCTCACTTTTATTCCCACAGTAGTTACCGGACAAAGAAGGTAAAGAAAAGAATGAAACATTTAATTCTACACTTGATCTTAGCCAAAAGGCCAAGAAGCTGAAACATTTAATTCTAAAACAAGAGTGGGCAACACTATCATTTTATTAATACAAACCCATACCTGTCATTTTCATGTTAAACATTTTTATATTAGGAAATTGATACATGAATTATTGGTAAGGAAATTTTTCATGAGGAAAATAGCCTTTAAAATAAATCTTGTGCAGTGTATAAGAGTATATGCATAAGGAGATGGAAGGAAACTCGCAAGGGAGAAAACTGAGCTCTTAGGTATGAATATAAAAAAATCTCCCCTCATTTCACCTCTTTCCTCAGGGCCAGATTGTTCTGTGCACTGAGCCCATTCCAACTTGAATATACTTAATATGAATGAACATTATAGCAAATGTTAACAAGACCAAATTCTGCTACCACAAAAATTTTAAAACAAATAATCACCGTAAGGAAAATAGTCATAAACCCTGGCTTATGGCCCGTGCTTGGTTGGGTTTTTAAAATATGCTACTCAAAATAATTCCACACAACTTTATCAAGTTCTTAACACTCATTACTCCAGTGGCTTTCAAATTTTTACTGTGACCTCCAGTAAAAAATATATTTTACATCATGGCCAAGTGTATGTACTTGTGTGTGTGTGTGTGTGTATAACATATATATATATGTTATGTAGAGTTATATATATAAACTTTATATATTTATACATATGAAATCATAAAATGGAAAGATGTTTTTTAAAACACACTTAACCTTAACTGCATGCTATACACTATATTTTATATTCTCTTCCTTTTTCTTTTAAAAAATGCTGTTTAAGTCCCAGTTAATTGACTTTGCAACTCAGTACTGTATCATAAACTAATGCACAATAGAAAACAGGGACAAAATACTCTCTCCAAGAACATGGAGTAAGAGCAAATGAAGGGGTGCCTGGGTAGCTCAGTTGGTTGAGCAGCCAACTCTTGATTTCCAACCGACTCTTGGTTTGGCTCAGGTCATGATCTCACGGTCTGGGATCAATCCCTGCGGTAGGCTCCGCGCTCAGCACAGAAGATGCTTGCGATTCTCTCTCTCCCTCTCCCCCTCCCCCCACCAAGAGAAAAAAAAAAAGAATAACAATCCATTTCATTCGGTAACTCTGAGAAGTCAAGAGCTTTTTAACTATTTTTATAATTTATAAATTTTTATTTCTTTAACTGGCACTTAGTTCATAAGATTACTCAACAACTGCGCAAAAAGTACTGACTTTTTGGAAGCCCAAGTTTTAGGTTTGAGTTTAGGTTTTACCACTCTTTCCAAAGGGTAAATGACCAAACATGGTAGAAACACTTTGTAATTCAGATCCTCAAAGCAATGTAGCTAATCCTCAACAATTATAGTAACATTATATTTTCATAGTTGTTTAGAGTTAGAAGTTTAGAGTTTTCCATATGGGAGCCCGTTTATAATATGAATCTGTTTCTACTTTTTCTCAATCATTCTAAGATCTTCCCTTTCAATTTTCCTACTGCAAAATAGTCCATCCGTAAGATTTGGCTTTTTACTTGCCTGTTACTTCTTCAGAAATCCCCTCTTCTGATCTGCAGGACTCAGCCAGTATCATCTTGAAATCAGCCATCATGAAAACAAATGTTTAGATTAGACTGTCTTTTGAAATTAAATGATTCAGAATCTTCTACACTGCAGATATTTCAGTGAAGTAGTGGTCTTATTTTTTTCTTCCACTAGGCTGAGACTTGGTAAAAAAAAAAAAAAAGTCTGTGCCTTAGTGCATTTTATTATCTTCATTATTAATTATTTTCTAGCTACTCTACTTCTGTAGTTCTCAAGGCAAGAAAATCTTTAGATCTGAAACTGGAGGGATCTTTTGAAAACCATGGGATGAATCGGTCTCATTTATCTGCCCTGGGGTGGGCCTCCGGCATTGATTATTTAAGTCCCCAGGTGACTCAACTGGGCAGACAAGATTGAGAACCACTGGCTTCGTTTATCCCACTAATTAAGAAGCAGCTAAGAGACTCAAAATTCAGTCAAGAGACTCAAAATTGATTCAGTCAAGAAACTCAAAAATTACATCCTTACATTCCAGTGAGAGGAACTTAAGACCATATCAAAGATCTTCCAAGAGTCACTATCCCCTTTCCTAACATCAGTAATTTTTTCCCCACTGAATATTCAGGGCAGCATAGAAACCATCATTTGTCCCATCTTTAAAAAAATTAAAAACTTTTAACCAGCATATAGTACAACCCCTTCTCACCAACACTTCACTTCTATTTTTCTTGATACCAAAACTCTTCAAAATAGGACTTATACTGGCTGTTTTCACTTTCTTTCCTCATTTTCTCTGGAACTTATTCCATTTGTGATTTCCCCACTGCAGCCACGTCCTTGAAATTGTTTGTAGGAAAGTTACCAATAATTTGCATGATCTTAAATAAAACAGTTGGTCCTCAGGCTTCCATAGCATTTGGGGGCTGTGGCAGAATTTGATGGCCCCTCCCTTGGTTACACACTCTTCACTCACTTCCAGGATGAAGTTTCCCTGGTGGCTCTTCCTTCTCCATTCCCTTCGCTGGCCTCTCCTCTCCAACCAGCTTCAGCTCATGCTCAGGACTCAGTCCTTGCACCTCTGTGCTCATTCCCTTTCTGGTTCCCCATCACTCTTAGAGCTTGAAACAGCATCTCTCTATGGAGAACCAATGAATTTAAATCTCCGACTCTTTTCTCCTCCCCAGTGTTTTTATACCCAGCAGCTTACTTGACATCTCAGTTGACTATCCATTAGGCATTTCAAACTTACTATGTATGACAACAAACTCTTGCTATTAGCTCAGACGTGTTCTGTCTACTGGCTTCCCCATCTTGTCTTCCCCATCTTTCTAGCTCTTCAGGCACCACACCTGTGAACCATCTAGGACCACTCATTCTTTTTTACACACATTTGTTCACCCAGCAAGCCCTGTGGAGTCAGAGTCTACCTTACAAACAGACCCAGAGTTCAAGTTCGACCATCTGTACTGCTTCCTCCCTAGACCATTCTCTCTCACCTGGGTCACTACCATAGCTTTCTAAGAGAATCTCCTTTCTTCTCTTACTGTCTATGGCCACAGAGAAGCCAGAGGTAGAATTTTAAAATACATGTCATATTTTGTCTTTCCCTTGCCCAAAAGATTTATATTCTGTTTTACTAAGAACTGCATTCAAAAGATTTACAATTGTTGATAAGATCCCATGTGTTTTAACTCCCTGTTCCTTCTCTAAATTCATTTCCTGTGCTTTCTCATCATGCATGCTTCTCCAGCCACATTGGTCTCCATGATGTCCTTAGGAGCTACAGATGATATGATCTCATGTCATGGCCTTTATATTGGGCTCTTCTATTTGCTAGAGATGCCTTTGCAACCCTCCCCTAATACACCCAGATACTTCTAATGGTTTGTCTCTCAGTTCCTTCAGGTCTTGCTCAATGGTCTTATCAGGCCAAACTACTAAAATGATAATACCTCTCATAATCTCTATACCCCTTTCCTGGTTAACTGATCCATGGCAATTATTAACTTATCACCATTTGATGTACTGTAGGTTTGGTTGTGGAATTCTCACCCCCATGAGAATATAAACTCCATCAGGGAAGAAATTTTTGATTTGGTTTTGTTTTGGGTTTGGGTTCTTTTTAAGGTTCTATATTTTTTTTTAGCTTTATTGATGTATAATTGACAAATTGTAAGATATTTAAAGTGTACAACATGATGGTTTGATATGTTGTATATTTGAAAGGATTCTTCCCAAGAAGTTAATTAACAAAATCCATCACCTCACTTTTTTGTGTGTGTGTGAGAGAACATTTAAGTTCTACTCTCTGGGCGCCTGGGTGGCTCAGTTGGTTGAGCGACTGCCTTCGGCTCAGGTCATGATCCTGGAGTCCCAGGATCGAGTCCCGCATCGGGCTCCCTGCTCGGCAGGGAGTCTGCTTCTCCCTCTGACCCTCCTCCTTCTCATGCTCTCTGTCTCTCATTCTCTCTGTCTCAAATAAATAAATAAAATCTTTAAAAAAATAAAAAAATAAGTTCTACTCTCTTAGCAAATTTCCATTATACACTATGGTCACCATATGAGACATTAGATCATCAGAACTTATTCATCTCATAACTGAAAGCTTTTATACTTTTACCCATCTCTCCCTTTGCCTCTCCCCACTCCCTGCCTTAGCCCTTGGCAACCACTTTTCTACTCTGTTTCTAAGAGTTCAACTTTTTTTTTTTTTTTTTTTTTTTTTTTAAGATTCTACATATAAGATTTGCTATTTTGGGGGTATCATTTCAGAAATCCATCTCTTAGTTTCACTGAGCTTTTTATTGTCTTCTTAGTCTCCACTATGTCCTCTCTTACCTTAGTTATTCCCTCCCTTCTGATAACTTTGGGCTTAGTTTGTTCTTCTTTTTCTAGTTCTTGAGGTGTAAAGTTAGATTATTGATTTAAGATCTTTCTTTTTTCTTGATGTAGGCATTTATTTCTACAAACTTCCCTCTTCAACCTGCTTTTACTGCATCCCATAAGTTTTGATATGTTGTGTTTCCATTTTCCTTGGTCTTGAGATATTTTTTGATTTCTCTTTTGATTTTTTCTTTGGCCCATTGGTTGTTTGGGAGCTTGTTGTTTAATCCCCTATTTGCAATTTTTCCAGTTTTCTTCTTGTAATGGATTTCTAGTTTCATACCATTGTGGTCAAGAGAGATGCTTGATGAGAGATACTTGATATGATTTCAATCTTTTTAAATTTACTAAGACTTGTTTTGTGGCTTAACATCTGATCTATCCTGGAGGATGTTCCATGTGTACTTGAGAATAATGTATATCCTGCCAGTGTTGGATGGACTAATCTATAAATGGCAGTTAAGTCCATCTTGCCTAATGTGTAGTTTAGGTCAAATGTTTCCTTACTAATTTTCTGCCTGATTGATTTATCCATTGTTCAAAGTGGGATATTCAAGTCCCCTATCATTATTGTACTGCTGTCTATTTCTCCCTTAAATTCTGTTAATATTTGCTTTATATATTTTGGTGTTCCTATGTTGGGTGCATACATATTTATTAACTTTATATCCTTTTGATGAATTGGCCCCTTTATCATTACATAATGACTTTTGTTTCTTATTACAGTCTTTGTTTTAAAGTCTATTTTGTCTGATGTAAGTATAGTTAGCCCTGTTTTCTTTTGGTTTCAATTTGCATGGCAATCTTTTTCCATACCCTCACTTTCAGGCTATATGTATCCTCAAAGCTAACGTGAGTCTCTTGAAGGCTCTGTGCCTGGACAGGATTTATGGTGAAAGTGTGCTTCCAGCATTTCTACCCATTTTGAGGTGGGTATTTTCTCATTTGCCCAATGTGTAAGAGTCACTCAGCTAGTTTCTGGATTTCTTTCATAGGTAATTGATCTGTATGTTGTTGTCCATTTGGCATGTCCCAGGGAAGAGGGCAGTTCAGGATACTTTCATGTCACCTTAATCCAATCAGCTTGTTTTTGTTGGGTTTTTGAACAGTGTAAATAACAGTGCCTAGAACTATGCTGAGCAAATAGTTGGTATTCAATATTCATTTGTCAAATAAATCAATAAAAAGTTTCAACTTTGTACTGGACACTTTAATCTTTTAAATTTGTACCTAATCTATAAATTTGCAACCTCTAAATTCCCTTTTGGTTCTAAAGTTGTATGACCCTAATGACAACATGTGCTCCGTCTGCTTGATGACCCCTTTCCTGATTCACTAGAGCCAAGTCATTGCACTCCTCTTTCCGCCTAGAGCACCCTATTCTTGCTTAAATATTAGCATTTATCATAATAATTTAACTGCAAATTAGACCAAGAGTTAATCAAGGGCAAGACATGTTTTTATGTTTCTTCACATTCTTATATAATATATAATGGTGTTTAGCACTCATAGTGTTAGGCTTTCAATAAATACCAATTCAGTGAGTGAGATTTGTATAAAATAATGCTTTAGGGGCTGGGAAAGAAAGAATGTTTCTTTTCTTTCTTTCTTTCTTTTTTTTTTTAATCTAGTTGAAGAGTATAAATGGGAATATCTCCATAGAAGGTCATTGAGAAGCTTTTTTAGATTTCCACTATTCCCCAGTCTTGAAACTCAAGCACTCAAGAAGCAAATTTTTTTCTTCTCTAGGATGTTTTCCTTTGGAGGAATTTAAAAGTCATCATATCCTCTACTGGACTGCTAGGAAATTAGAAGTTTCATTTAAAAGGACAGAAGCATATCTAAGTCTGGCCAGATAGATAAGTGAGAACTAATCCTAAAGCTTTCAAGGAATAGATATTGCCTGAATCCCCCATTTTTATATTTTATTTCAATAATTTTTGAAAAAAAATAAACAAACTAGAAAATACCTATCACTCAGTATCCTTTTAAGTGCATACTCTAAACAACAGTATTTTTAAAAATAAAGAAAAAAGACATAACCTTGTTAAGTAAAATAAATTTGAAAGAAATTTTGTTCAATTCACATGTCTAAGCTTAAAGAAACAAGATTTATGTATTTAGTTTCATTGTACATCTCGATATGAATTCATACTTCACTAGTTA